AGCTGCACACAAACAAAAAAAAATTAAGAGTTTAATTTCTCTTACTTGTGGGATGGGAAGAAGAGCTAGAAAATCATTTATGTAGGAGGAATATAACCATGACATCTTCCGAGCTATTTTCTTGCCGACTTTAGTCAACGCTCTTCCTTTTGATTTCCTATACAAATTTCCTTCAATTTGCTGGGTGCTTGAGGCCACAGTTCTCGTGGTATTTGCGGCCACATTAGCCCCCAACTTTTTGTGCATTTGAAATTTAACGCTTTTGTGAACTTTATATATAAAAGGCACAGCGAAAATGATATCCGTGAGTGATCGCAACACAAGAACACTAGTGCTCAGCTTTTTGTCCATCTGAAGACACTTGTTATCTTGATCAATGATTAAAATGTACAAAAACAGAGGATCTAGTGAGACGGCTAACACACAGGACATAACAATTATGTTACTCCATATGTGAAGGAATTTCCTCTGTTCAAGTTTTCGCTTTCTTAGGGCATAAAATGTCTGTTTAATCAATACATTACAACGTCCTGCAACAGGTCTTAAAACGACACAAAAAGAACAAATTGCACCCATCAGAATCATGAATAAACATAAAAGGATAGGCATATGAGAGTTCACGAGCATTCTTTAGTGTGAAGCACATATAAGGGCTGTGTGACGATGCAGAAGGATGTGCATATGAGAGTTCATGAGTAAAAATAGGCAGACAGATGAAATGAAGAAAGCTAAATGAAGGCGTAAGGTGATATTGCATAAGTGAAGGTTGCGCATGGATCATAATCACAAGTTACAGCCTTATGATCGATGAAGTATTTTGGCCAGCCAAAGGCAGTAAGGATATGAGTCCCAGTGTTTGATACAAAAATATATTTGAAAAAATTAAAGACAAAAAATTGCAGTCCTAATGTAAAGAAGTACTAACCCCTCTGCTGGGCTCTCCACATCTGAAGCTTCTCTTCTGTAATCCATAACCACTCAATCGAGTTTATGACACTCCGTGATGATCAGTAATTCAATATTCCCTGCTAGCCTGACAGTAGAAAGAAATTGTGTGTGTGTGTGTGAGAGAGAGAGAGAGAGTTTAGTTACATGGAAGCTTACAGCGATGATACCTGAATGACTAAGTTTAGTAGCATTCTCTGCAGCAAGTGGCAGAAACCGAAGTTTGGTAGTATTCTCTGCAGCAAATAGCTAGTTGTTTCATGCAGATGATGATGTTATCGATGTAGAAAATCCCTTTTCGAAAACAAATCAAAGTTCTACTTATTAGCTAGTTGTGTCAAATGGATTACAAGTATTGTATACAAGTGCTAAAATAAGGGACTAAATGTGTTGCAAGCATTGTGTGTAGATTTCAAATGGATTACAAATATTGTATCTAATTTCAATTTTGAACATAATGGACAATTTACACAATATTCTTTCAGTGTGCTCAAATGTGCAAAAAGTAAATATATCGGATCATCTGAAACATGATTAAAAAGGAGAAGATTATATATGCAAAGAAGTAAAAACACCACGGTAGTTTTTCAAACATTCACATTTAAATAGACCAATTCAAATTGTCCTCAATTCGAAGCCTAGACAAAATTCAACTGAAAAGATGTCATATTGTTGGCCATACTTCTTATTTGGTTGTCAATGTGTTGTGACAATAACACCGACTCAAAAGAGCAAACTAAGTAATTAAGTAGTTGTTCAAGTGAATCATAAGTGCACAAAATTAAAAGTTAAAACTTTCCCAACAGTGGCATACCTCTATACGAATTTGGATTACACAATAACCAGTAGTCGAATCTCCCTTTTGTATACAAACTAACAACAGTACTGATATTATTATTTTCCTGGCAGCAGAAACAAAGAGAAGCTTTAAAATATGTGTTGAATTAGAACTAGGCATTTTAGCCAAAAAGATTCTTGAGATTGACATAACTTCTTACTTTGGTCCCTGAGATTTGAAATCAATAGAAGTGGTCATTGAGTTTGCCCACCGTCAATCATTTGTCATTCCATAAAAAATCTTTCTTAAATAAGAATCAAAATGCCAAAAATACCCTCAGCTGGCCAAAATTAATAAACAACAAGGATGTTTTTGTCATTTTATCCTTATTGAAAAGAGATTGTTCACGGAATGACCAAAATAGTTGATAGTGGAAGGGACCAGTTCTATCGATTTTCAATCTCGAGAATCAAAGTAAAGAGTTATATCAATCCCAAAAACTATTTTGGCTCAAAAGCTCTAGAATTACTGCAAATATATTTAAAATTGCATTAGCAGTGAAACTAGAACATCATAAATATTAGATGATAGTAGACCAATGCGACAACAAAGTTTTTTTAAATGCCTCGCACTGGCATTGAGACTCAACTTCAATACTTGAAACTTCATTTAAACTTGTAAAGACAAAAACTTAATCAATTAAATACAAATATTGAAACATTGACAAATAAAACACATTGAGAGGAATTCACCTTATCAAAATCTCAAATCAATGATGGGTTATGGCAAATGGGCAACCGAATCGGACCAAACCCTTTATCATGTCATTAAAAATTTGAATTTAGAAGATCAAATAACAAATTGCAGAGAGTACTCCGATCATTAAAAATTGGCATGCATGAAGGATACCTCAAATTGAGAAGCTTGAATTTGATATCTTGAAGAACAGAAATGCAGCTAGATAAAAGTATATATACTGGATGAACCGACCAGATTCCAATTCTAACTCCTCAAGTTTTCTAATGAAGTGAAGAAAATAATCTTTTGATACCTCGCTGTTCAAAGAAATTTTTGGTTGTCAAAATGTTGTGACAATAACGCATTAATTAAAAGAGCAAATAAGTAATTACGTAGATGTTCACATAAATCATATGTGCACAAAATCAGACGTTGAACTTTTCCAACAGTAGCATACCTGTATACGAATTTGGATTACATAGTAACCAATAGTCGAATCCCTTTTTGTATACAAACCAACAACGGAATTGATATTATTGTTTTCCTGGCAGCAGAAACAAAGAGAATCTTTAAAACATGTTTTCCTGCATGCATCAAGTTTTTCGATCTACTTTGTCCATTCAAATTCAATTGGGTAAACATATCTTAATTTTAAGAATATTTAATAAATATGTCACAATACCAAATAAACAGATAATACAATCTCAATCTTAGGACTACTTTGGGGAGTTAATCAAACTTAAACAACATTTAGCGACACGTGAGACTCCAAATTATGTTTAAATAACTTTATTTTAACATGGTAGTTTAATTCAATTAACCAATAATTAAAGTTAAAGAATAAACTTAAAAATAATAAATTATTGAAGGGGCTATATTTAGCCTATTCGGTTAAAGATAGTATATGAATATGACCTGACATTGTTCATTTAAAAATAATTTCTTACAGAATTATATTTCTGGACGAGGCTATATTTAACCCCTTCGGTTGAAGATGCCCTAAACCAACCAAATTCCAATTTCAACTCCTCAAGTTTTCTAACGAAGTAAAGCTCAAGATACCAAAACTTTCTTTGGATAGCAAGTATCAAAAGCTTCTATTCTTCACTCATAAAAGCCTTCAAATTCTCCACCAAAAAAAGGCTCAAACTTCCTTCGATTGATGTCATAATTTTAGTCTCAAGCTTCGTTTTGTTTTAAAATTTTTACCCAACATTTAGTTTATAAAGTGCATTTCCTGTAATTGAAGTTTTCACTTACTTTCACAATAATGATAGAAAATTGAAATCCCTCTATGGTCAGGAGAGGGTGAAATGTCTATGTGAGTCTTTTCGGCCTCCAAAAAGAGTGAATAACAGTGATTTACCACAGTAGTTCCCATTTTCAAAAATAAAAAATTGAAATCCTCTATGACAAAGTTTTATTTCAAGTTAAGCCAAAAACCAAAAACAAAAGCATTTAAAATGATTTAAAAATTAAACAAAAATGGAGATGCTGGAGGATTCAACATAGTTGGTTCTCCAAAGAAAAGAAAAGGGGTGTGATATTCACACATCCCTTTTTACTTCTCACACACATTTCTAATTTTCGACCGTCGGATCAGATGAAATGAAGAAGATCAACAGATATAAATTAATAAGAGGTATGTGAGAAGTAAAAAATGGTGTGTGGATAGCACACCCCAAAAGAAAAAACTTCTCATTGGGAATAGAGTAATGCTAGATAGACTAAATTTATAAACTAAATGATGTGTCACCAATTAAAAAAAAAAAGGTAATACTAGGGAGATCAAATTTTTAAGGGTAATGTTAGGGAGACTAAATTTGTAGACTAAATTTTGTAAACTAAATGATATAGAAGTTGTTGATTGAATTATTACTTAAACATTGATTAACGTGCTCATTTCATATTAATGACACATTATTTAGTTTGCAAATTTAGTCTCCGTAGTATTACCCAATTTTTAAACTAAATTTGTGAACTAAATGATATGTCACTAATAGGAAATAAGCATGTTAATTAACACTAAATAATAATTCAATCATCAATAACCATGTCATATACTCTAAAAAATAAACACATTAGTCAACGTCAACGCTTAAGTAATAATTCAATCATCAATTTTCATGTCACTTGTCTTACAAAATTTAGTTTTCGTAACATTACTCTGAGTAGAATATATCAAACAAACAAAAGTAAACACCTCATATATAGGGGCAAATGAAAATGGAGGTCACCTTCAATCCGAACCTCCCAAGCAACTGTCGACGACACACCAAGAATCCCCCAACCGAAGCGATAGACATATTTGGCACGCGTGACATATAGAAAGAAACAGGTTTTTGAATCAGCCTCTACAATGCGACCCTCGCAAATTTGTCAGTTCTTGTTTGCCCTTTCTAAACTTTTCAACTTCAAATCCACTATACAGACCACTTTACATCCAGCAAGAACATACAGGAGCATCGATATACATGTGTGTGGATTTAGCTCGTGTTTGCTTACTATAATTCAAGCCGTAAACATATGATAATTAATCACTAATCAGAACACAAAAAATAACTGATTTATTGCTATTGTGAGAAGATGCGAGTTGCAGGAATGATTAGTTTAATTAAGATTTCCGTAGATTAAAAATTAAAAGTCAAATCTTGCGTCCGTGTCGAGATTTTCAGTGCTGTCGTTGGTTTATTGGATCCTTCAATGAGTGGCACACGCAGCAGCAGACTAGTACCTCCGCTGCATGATCGAACGAGGACGAGTACGTTGCCGAGACCAACCGCCATAGTTGTTGACTTTTGAGTGCTGCTTGGACTGGACGACGATCATTGTTTGCTTTGCTTTCGTCTTCTCACTTCATTACGTTCAGCTCTGCATCTGCTTTTCCTTTTTATTTTCTAAGTTGGGCCCTTCGTTGTCCCTTTGAAAAAAAAAAAGGTAACAAGCTGTTAACTTAGGGGCCTTTTTAAAAATGGGCCTAAATATAAAAAAGCCTAAACCCAAACAGTTCAAAAATGACGCCATTTTTAAAACGATCCACAATGACTTAATGGTCCAAGCCTTGACTAGATTTCCACACACACAAAAAGATAGAAGAATTGAAGAGATCTCAGAACACAAAATCTCGAGTGTAAAGACAAGACAACGGACAAGATTTTTGAGTTAGCGTTTGGGCTTAGGCTTTAAGTTTTTTTTTGAGTTGATGGATAAGATTCTTGAGTTGAATGATAAACTTACATATTTTTGTAATTTTTCACACCTTTATTATTAATCTTGTCCGGTGGTTTTTCCTTTTTTTTTTTTTTTTTTTTTTTTTTTAAATTTAACGGTCAGAAATAAAGAGTTGGGTGTGAGTAGGGGTGGAAAAATTTTCCGAAAATCCTGAACCGAACCGAAAAAATCCCGATCCCAAACCAAAAATTTCCCAAACCGAAATTCCTGAAATTTTCGGGATGTTATCCCGAACCAATCCCAAAATTTCGGTACGGGATTCGGGATTGGCTTCTCGATATTTCGGGAATCCCATACCAAACCGAAAATATATAATATTAATTATTATATATATTTATACATATATATATATTATTCTTTTATAATTGATGCTAGTAGTTTCTAATTCATGCTCAGCAACCTAGAATGCCCTACACCTTGCATATTTTTCATGTTCTGTTTGATATTCATGTGGATTTGATTATTGCTACTGCCATGGCTGATGATTTCAGAAGGCTTGATTCTTTTGTCTCTCAACAGATTGCAAAAAGAGTTTAATTAACTTGAATTTTGACTATGATAAAAAGAGTTAAGCATGCCAGTGTTCAATTAAATGGTAGTGTGAATGAAATGAAATTCCTAGTTCATAAATGTGTTATTGAATTATATATTTGAAGAACAATTCATAATTTCATATTTCAATTTGGGATTCCCGATTTGTCCCAAAATCCCGAAAATATTTCGGGATTCCCGAAATTTGGGATTCCCGAAAATTTGGTTTGGGATTGGTCTTCAAATTCCCGTCCCGAAAAATTTCGGTTTGGGATTCGGGATACTAGTTTCGGTATGGTATCCCATACCGAACCACCCCTAAGTGTGAGAGATTAACTAGGACTGGAAAATTTTCCCGAAAATCCTAAAGCAAACAAAAAAAATCCCTATCCCATATCGAAAATTTCCCAAACCGATGATACCGAAATTTTTGGGATGCATACATAACTGATTCCAAACCTTTTGGTACGGGAATCGGGATTACATATATGGTTTAAGAATCCCGAACCAAACCGAAAAAAAAAAATATATATATATATTTTTTTTTTTGGTTGCATGCATGTTGAATTTAAGTAAAATGATAGTAGACTATATTAGAAATAGAAGTATAAAATTAAGTAGTTTGGAACCTTGAAACGTCAATTTGACTTGGTAAGAATGATTTGGTATTTCAATTGGTAAGAAATTTCAAATTGGTAATAGGTAAAAAGCCTAAATTTCAATTGATATGAAATTGGGCAACAAAATTTTAAGCCAAATTATTTAGTCCACAACCTAAAAATCCCAAATTTATGCCCAAGCAACTCTCGACACACCAAGAATCCCTCTAACCGAAGCGACAGACAAATTTGGCACGCGACATATAGAAAGAAACAGGTTTTTGAATCAGCCTCTACAATGTGATCCTCGCAAACCAAATATTTTGTTTTTGTCAGTCCTTGTTATGCCCTTTCTAAACTTTTCAACTTTAAATAAGAACATTTACAAAACATTTATGCTTATATATTAATAGTATTGTCTTAAACGGTATTCTAAAAACCCGCATCAAAGTGCGGCGCTGACATTCATGCTTGTATAAACTGTCTCTAACAATATAAACATCAACAATCCTTAATAGAAATGCTAATGTGGCTAACACGTACAGATTATTGAAACGTCTAAACATACCATTATCAACCAGTTTGGTTTTGAGTCCGAGCAAGAGTTGCCCGGAGTTCTTGGCCATAATTAAGAACGTTGCTGCAGCTGCTAAATGATTGGTGGTGCTGACAAGCTCTCGCCATTAGTGCCCACTACTGTCAGGGGGTCTTCTTGCGCGCCTGGTGCTGCCTCTTTCTTTGTAACCATATCACCAAACCAATCATCAAGATCCAAATTTACAAATTAAGCCGAGGAAAAATGATAAAATGATAGAAAAATATATTGGGAGAGAGTTCAATACCAACCTGCGGCCCTGCAGTTGCAGTTGCAGCGACAAATGTAAGTAGGAGGAAGCTACTGATAGAAATACAAATTGCAAACACGTTTTCCCACACAAAAGTACTTGTCATGAGATTCGTGCCAAAATTACTGCAACGAGTTTAAAGATCAAGTAAATATTTATGTGGGAAACGAAATTATCGATTGACTTTATAAACAATGTTGTGGAACTACTTGAAAGTGTTTATTGTCATACAGACCTTATATTTCGGAGCCCCCACCAAAAACAGTATAACAACTTTGTTGAAAATTTTACGTCGTCTACGGTGAGAGTCTTTAGGGCATCAAGATATATTCCAAAATTATAGGGCACTGATGAGGCACCATCTAAAATATCTGTTGAGCAATGCTCATTTAGAAATGTGATATTCCTCGAAGCAATAGTTCGACAGAAAGTATCCATACATGTTTTGGGATCTGTACTATAATTTACACATGCAGAATGCCAGCATAAAATCTCTCGCTGAATAGAAAAAAAGTACCAAAGAGCTCCGAGTACCTAAAAATAACACATTAATTAACAACTGGTTGATCAAATTAAAAATAGCAAATGATCAATGATTAATTTATTTACTTATCCAATATCCACCATCAAATTCTTCGTGGTTATGGATTGAAACAACGAAATTTGATGATAAGGAGTGGTGTGTTGGACAAGAAAAGCTGTTAAAGAGGCTTTCAAATTGCTCAAGGAAAGGGGCGATGGAGTTTAAAAATGAGTTAATACTCATATATGAACTCCAGCCTAAAAACCTTGTCAAACTTTTCGGATTTTACATTCATGGTGAAGAGAGATGCTGATATATGTGTCAATGCCAAGTAAAAGTTTGGACTCCTTTTTATTCGATCGTAATACTCACTTTAATTTTATCGATTGATTTCTTTTGTTTTGGATTTTTTGGTATTCCAAAATGCAGATCATCATCAATCTTACGATTTGATGATAATTGGGGTTGGGTGCACGCGCTCGTAGAAAGTTTTTATTTTATTTTATTTTATTTATTTTTTTATCATTAAATAAAAATATTCGTTTATTTTTTTTTTTGTTAAAATTTAAAGTTTTAAAGTTATTTTTATTAGTTTTTTTTTTTAACTTCTTACAAGTGAAAGAGAAATAATAACCAATCAATGTAACATTGTCATTATTTTATGAAGTGGAAGAGTTTGACCATGACACATCAATTTTGGGAAATGATGTTGTAGTACAGTCTGATCCCAACACCCACATCAATTTACAGGAATAATAGAATAACAATGTTATTCATACTATGTTTTTATACTATATTTCTATATCATATTAGGTGACATCTGATGTAAACAACCACATCATTTGAAAAATTTGCAAAACCCAAGGAAATGAAGGAGAAAGACTTCTTATATATCACAATCATCATTTAATTAACTAGTTTTTCTTAATTATTAATTTATTAAATAATGAACTAAATTTAAAAATTTGATTAATTTAAATGATGTGGTTGTCCACATCAAAAGCCACCTAAGGTGATATGAAAATGTGATACAAAAATATGATATGAATAGCATTACTCATAATAGAATGACATGTAGGTTTCAACCAAAAAAGATAGAATGACATGTAGGTGAGGTTTAGAAAAAATAAAAAAATTTAGTTTATGTGAAATTACATTACTGTCTATAATTTTATTTTGTAATAGAAGATCAAATTATCTTTTAACCCAATTTTGGTTGACAAAAAGTTTTATTGATAAGTAGTTTTTTTCTTTTTTCTTTTTTCTTTTTTTTGGCAAACGATAAGTAGTCTAGTTATCAAATAAAAAATAAATAATAACATAAAAAAGAGCCAATTGTCAAGCTAATACTTCTAAATAATTGAGCTACTGTTCATATTGTTAATTAATTTTCTGGTGGAACCTTAAACTTCTTCATGATATTCTATATAGCTTTATTTAGAGTGGTTGTGTTTATACTCAATTTGTATCTCTAGACAGCGAATTTCTCAATACATCCTAACAAAATTTCTGAGTTCTTTACCCGCAACCATACTTATAAATTTTCCAACGTTTACGCTTAGTAATTATGTTTTATTTTTAATATCAAAATCATAAAATATAAAGGCTGCTTTTTGTTTTATTAATACCCACAATTTATTTTCATACGCCCCATAATAAAAAAATTTCTCAATAACACCGACCACTGCATGGTGATGGAGTATGTATATGGAGGGACAAGAGAGCTAAATTTTCAGCATAATAATGAGATAAGTTGAGAACTTGAGATGAAACTTACGTGACTGGTAAAAATGTAGAGACCAAAATAGATCATGGTTTTAAACTTTATATCAAATTTCTTGATTTTCTTGAACTCGCGAATTCTGTACATCCTTGGTGGATATTGAGCTAGAAGACAACAATTGGTAATAGACATACGCTGTCGAAAAGATCCAGAGCCCCATATTTTGTAAAAATCAACTCCTATTAGCAGCTAGATCAGATAAAATAAATATAATTAAAAATGATTTAGATATCTCTAAAAATGGTTTAATTAACAAGCTATGTGTATGCACATAAGTACGTACACATATTTATATCATTTCTCTTACTTGTGGGATGGGAAGAAGAGCCAAAACTTCAATACCGAAGGGGGTGACAAATAATGCTACTACTGTCAGTACTAGTCCGAAAACTTGTGAGCTACCCAATTCCACCCTAAAAGATTCAAAAAGCAGACGGAGCCGATATAGCAAATGCACCAGGGCATTGATATCCGTGAGTGATCGGAAAATAAGAGAAATTTTCCAGAGCTTTTTGTCCATTCTAAGGCATTTGTTATACTGATCGATGATTGGAATATAAAAGAACAAAGGATCCATTGCCATAGCAACCACAAATGATATTGTAACAATCTTGTACCACAATCGCTCCAGTTGATTGCTAACAGCTCTCCTACTGAAAAAGATACAGCAAATTAACAACAGAATTAGAATCATAATGATGAAGCTACAACATACGACCAGCTTCTTAGCAGAGATTTCACTTGCTATTCACAAAGTGGGATAGCATAGCCGTAGTACAGTCGTAATTATCAAATAATGTCCAAGTATTGATCACAGGGTGATATACAGTATCAGCAGTACATGACACTGTACTGGTATTCATCATTTGCGATTTCTTTGATATGGTCGATATCGAAAAAATAAGAAAAAGATATGAAAAGGGAGTGAAGTTTGAAGTATAAAAACATTACCTCATATTAGAGAAACTTTTAAATTTCAGCTCAAATCGACGTATTTCATCGATATTTCCGATATATCAATTATATATCGGATAAACTCTTATATTTCATCTAAACCAGTATTTGATATTTCCTAAAATGTCATTTTAAATTTTCATCATTTTCATCGAAAACAACCTATATCGATATTATTATCAATATATCCATCGATATTTTCATAAATTTACATATCGATATTTATACTAGTACTGATATATTTTAAACACTGCTGATAATATTACCAATCATGGAGCGGGATCCCTCTTAATAAGGGACTTTCATATATTTTTTTTTTGAAAGAAAAAAAATGCAGTATTAATATGTAAAGAAGTACTAACCGATCAAAGTCCAATACTTGATACGCGCGAACTGCAACGGCCTTAAGGAACGCCCTCGTTATGAGCTCGGCCATCAGTACGTAGAGAGAGATCTAGTACTCCGACGCCCTGTAGGAACCCTGCTAATAACCTGACGTGGCGGATAATATGTGCTTGATTTTTGAGAGGGAGAGAGTGGAGTGAAGCTGGCTAATGGCAAACAACTCACTTTAAATGGAAACCAAATCTTAGACACAAACAACTCAGTTCTAGTAATCAATAAAGTTAAAGAATAAACTTAAAAATAATAAATTATTAAGGAAGTTATAGTTAGCTTCTTCGGTTGGAGATGGTATATGAATATAGCTTGAAATTGTTCATTTAAAAATAATTTTCCGTTGGGCTATAATTTTGGCGGGATTATATTTAATTTATAACTAGGCATTAATGTTCGCGCGTTGCTACGGAAATAAAAATTATTTAGGGAATTATGTTTGAAAAGTCATCAAAGTTGAATCTAGTGTAATGAGTACATGGATAACCTTTGAATAGTGTTTCAATTTGAATGAATAAAAGCATTGATAACTTTGTAAAAGTGCTTAAATTGTAGATGACCTGCTAGTACTACACTCATGTTCATAGTCATGGTTACATCGTAGCTGTATCTAAGGACAATTAGTTCTGATACCTAGTTCAAATTGTCATTAAATTCATAATAAGAAAAATAAAAATTAAATTTAGAAACCCTGTAAAACCCCTTTGCTCTGCTTCTATGCTTTTTCTTCATCTCCTCTGCTTTCTCCCCTCAGCCTTCTTCTGTTTCTCCTTTGCTCTCTGCTTCGGCTCTCTCCCCTCTCCATTTTTTTTTTTGGAGTTTTAACGAAACACTTTTGGTACTATTTATTTTTAACAAAAAATTATATTTTTACTTTTCCTGATACTATTCACTGACATATTTATTTATCATTTTTTTATTAATTTTTTTTTTCCTGTTTCTCTTTCTTCCTTGTATTGCCTTTCAACCAAATTGCCAAAAGTATCTTTTTTTTCTTTTCTCCTACCACTTTCAACAACCTTTTTTTAATATTTTTTTTCTTTTCTTTTTCCACATAAAAAATCTTTTTCTTTTTTTATTATTTTTTTATTTTCTTTTTTTTCACATCCCTTTCTCCCGTCCATTTTTCCATTTCTTCTGTTCTTTTATTCAACCTTTTGACCTTTCTTCTTCCTTTTGTCATTTTCCACCTTTTTTTATTTCCACTGCTTGTCTACTTCAGATGAATTCGCCGTAAAATATGATTTTCTCTTCTTTTATTTTCATTTTCTCCTCTTCATTTCTTTCACAAATTATTTTTTATCTTCTTCTAGCTATTAAAAAAATTAACATAAAATATTAACGTAACTTAACTATAACTATTCAAATAAAAAAAAAGGAAAGGAAAGGAAAATTAGGAGGGAAGAAAATCCACTTCATTGGCCATTGGATCTGTTCAGCATCACGTCCCATCAATGGCACTCCATCTTCAATCTGCTTCCCTACTGCCACTGTATCCTTGAGCGTTTGCATTGTAATCAACTCAGAAGGGTCAATCTTGCCTGCGTTTATAATATCATCCTTGACTTTGTAGCCACACAAACTTGCTTTACAATTATTTCAATGCATTGAATTTCTTTATAATTTTTTATTGTTTTTTTATGCCACAAATTATGTGGTCTGGTTCAACTCACATTATTTAAATATTTTTTTATCATGCCATTAATTTTTTAATTATTATTTTATCTTTCTCTGTCCTGTATGTGGGTTTAAAAAAAGGGGCATTTAGATCCGAGTCCAAAGAATTGAGCTACTTTTCAATTGAGTCCAATTCCATGTGCCTTATCAGTTTAGGTATAACTGATCTTTTTATGTCTATTTTGCCCTTTTATAATCTAAATGAAAATAGATTTAAATTTCTTGATTTATCCAAATTTGAATCATTAAAGCCTTTAATCTATTCAATATCCAAGGAAAAAAAATTAAAATTAAAATTCATGCCATGTTTTTCAACAACAAAATCTACTGTGATATACATTCTTGATAACAGTAGATTACGAAAAGAAAAAAACCTATGATATAGGTACATAAATACAAAATATGTCATGAAGATATATTTAAATAATATATAATCAAACTAGTGTAGGTAGATAATGCAACTAATCTGTGTTGCAGGTAGGCAATGCAATCAATCTGCGATGCAGGTAGTTAATTTACAAACAAAAAAACATATGATACATATGCAATTAATCTCTAATATGGGTAGAGTATTATAAAAAAATCCTATGGTATAGGTAGATAAACACAATTAATCTTAAATTATCAATAGAATAATATATATATATATATATAGGTAGATAAATACAATTATTCATGATACATGTACATTATAATATGAAAAAATTAAAAAAGGACAAGTGATATAGGTAGATAAAACAAATAAAAAAAATGGGAAAGAAAAATGATATTGAGGGAGGAAACACTAGAGAAAATGCTAATTCAATAGAACTTCGAAAAAAAATAAAATATATATATATACATATATAAAAGAAAAAGAAGCAAAAAAAAAAAAAAAAAAAAAAAAAACGAAGAATCCAAAACACTAATGCAATTTTTTTTTTTTTAACCAATCAAATGTATATTCATCATTGTTATGGAAGAGGAGGAGAAGAGGAATATTATGGAAGAAGATTACTCAGCAAAATAACATAGGAAGAGAAAGATATTGTGAGGGAGAAACAAGAAAAGAGAAATTAACGGTTGGGGAAATGAGAAGAAAAAAAGAGATTTCAATCCCTAAACTTATAATTAAGGATAACATTAATCACAAATTAAAAAAACAATAATTACTTAATTAGTCAATTTGAGGGTAAATTTGGCAAGAAAATACAAATAAGCTTAAGTGGATAATAAATCACTGGACCTAACCCAAAATTTAAAACAAAATTGGACTATAACTAATAATGGCTCATAAAATTGGACTCGTATTAAGTTTCCCCTTAAAAAAAAAAATCAAGAATAGATTAAAAGGAAGGCTCCACAAATGAAGAATTGGTGGATAGAAAGGCCATATGCGGTATTTTACTGTGCAAAAAAGGCACACAGAATTGGCTGAGGGTCGTTTTAGTTCGTTTACTGTTAATGAATAGTAACTTTGTCTTGGGTTTTAGTATAGGTGTAAGGGAGAAGGTGCATTTCCTGTAATTGATGTCCTCGCCCACTCTCTCAATAATGATAGTAAATTGAAATCCTCTGCGAAGTCGTTTTATTTCAAGTGAAGCCAAAAAAAACTAACAACAAAAAAAGAAAATTTTAACAGAACACTATTGGTACTATTTACTTTTAACGTTAAAAATATTTTTACTCTAAAAAGATATTCATGGTACTATTCACTTACAACACATTTTTGTCATTTTGATTAAAACTCAAAATTTTCAAATCATTTTCATTAGTTTTTCTTAAAAAAATGATAAAAAATTAAACAAAAAAAGGAGCTGCTGGAGGATTCAAAATAGTTGTTTCACGAAAGAAAAGAAAAAACTATGCATTAGAAATAGAGTAATGTTAGACATACTAAATTTATAAATTAAATTTGTAAGTTAAATAATGTGTCGCCAATAAAAAAAAATAAAGTAATGCTAGGGAGATCAAATTTGTAAACTAAATGATTTGTCATCAATAAGAAGTAAGCATGTTAATCAACACTGATTAATAATCCAATCATCAATAATTATGTCATATACCCTAAAAAATAAGCACGTTAGTCAACACATAAGTAATAATTTAATCATCAAATTTCATGTCACTATTTATAAAATTTAGTCTTCCTAACGTTCCTAATAGAATATATCAAAGAACCAAAAGTAAACACCTCATATACAAAGGCAAATGAAAATGGAGTTCACCTTCAATCCGAACCTCCCAAGCAACTCTCGACACACCAAGAATCCCCCCTAACCGAAGCGACAGACAAATTTGGCACGCGACATATAGAAAGAAACAGGTTTTTGAATCAGCCTCTACAATGTGACCCTCGCAAACCAAATATTTTGACAAAACCTTTCAACTTTAAATAAGAACATTGACAAAACCTTTATGCTTTGATTTATGAATTATAAAAGAAAATTCCCACTCAACCCGCATATTTTGAGCAGAGTTTTTTAATGTTATTGCCTAGAACGAATAGATATAATCAAATAATGGGGATCAAAGCCCTCAAACTTTCACAGTCCGATGAGAGCTTTGATCATCACTATCAGAACATATATCCATGCTACAGATAAGTATTACAAATAATTTCTCCAACCCGAAGGGGAAAAGGGACGAAAATTAGATATGATACTGGTCCACCAAGAAGAGACCCCATAGCAAGAACATATACAGACCACTATACATCCAGCAAGAACATACAGGAGCATCAATATATATGTGTGTGGATTTAGCTCGTGTTTGATTACTATAATTCAAGTCGTGACCATATGATCATTAATCAGAACACAAAAAAACAACTAATTTATTGTTATTGTGAGAAGATGCAAGTTGAAGGAATGATTAGTTTAATAAAGATTTCCGCTGATTAAAAACTAAAAGTCAAATCTTGCGTCCGTGTCGAGATTTTCAGTGTTGCTGTTGGTTTATTGGATCCTTCAATGAGCGGTACACGCGGCAGCAGACATAGTGCCTCCGCTGCATGATCGAACCAACCGCCATACTTGTTGACTTTTGAGTGCTGCTTGGACTAGACGACGATCATTGTTTGCTTTGCTTTCGACGTCTCCACTTCATCTCGTTCGGCTCTGCATCTGTTTTTACCTTTTCTTTTCTAGGTTGGGCGAGTCGTGTACCATTCTATATTTCGGTTATGTTGAATAACCTCTCGTTGTAATGTACTTGTTGTTTTACCAAACCAAATTATGCAAGCCTTAAAAATTAAAAATGACCGGTCGGGAATCGGATAATACTAAATAATAACCTTCACGTCAGAATTCTTTATCTATATATATAAAGTGAGAAGACCAGTTTGGTGAAGCATTCAATAATTCCTAAAATGCCCTTACTTAATGACTCCGCGTAAATCAAGGATTTAATACCAAAAGAAGGATAAAGAGGTAATAACATTAACTACAGAATTTGAAACCTAATGGAAAGTGAAAAGGAATAGACAGTTGCCAGTTCAGTTATCAGTCCTACTCCAACTTCCCACGATCGAAACCAGAGAACAGTTTGATGATTCCCACGACGAAACCAAAGAGCAGTTCAACGATTCCCATGATCTGAGTTCAGTTGAAGGTTCAACAACAACTGCCCACATACCACCGCTATATACAGATGAATATTCGAAAAGAGCCCAATTTTCGAAACCAGATTTCAGGACGTCGTCTTGGAGCCCATCCTCTTCACACCTTCGATCCCGGACGCCCACTTTCAGGAGCCCAATCTCCTGGCTGTTGCTCATCTTCCCTTCTCTCTTCCGATCGCCATATTTAAGTAAGTTTTCCATTTTGTGCACCCCAACTTTCCTTTCCATTTAGCTTTCGATTTCAACCTTTGATTCAAGATTTTTTCCAATTGCAGTTTTTTTATTTGGTCCCATCATCTGCACACTTCTCTTTTTTTTTTCCATCTTTCCTTATGTGTCCTTAGTAGCTTCCATCACTCTTGCTCTCTCAAAGATTGCATTGAGGCAGAACACGCACTCACTCAAAGACAATCTGGTAAGCATTTTCTTTTTATATGATACAGTCTTAGATTTTTTGTATTTTCCTTGGTTTTTGGGGGGTTTGTTCAAGTTCTCGAGGGATTTCAAGTTTTTGGGTTGATGATTGAATGTGGAGCTTAATGT